GAGAAGGAAAAAGAGAATAATAGGAAAATAAAGAAGAACTCCGAATGAGGACCAAAACAGGGACAAAAAGGGAAGATGAACAATGTGGAAGAGCAAGAGAGTGAGTGTAAGAGAGAAAGGAAAGATAAAAGAAAGAAGAAAAGGAAAGAAAAAAAGGAGAGAAAAACAAATACTTCCAAAGAGTAGGGAAAAAAATTAAAGATAAGAGGAACAAAAGAAAAGAGAAAAAAACCCAAACTAATAATACTAATTTGGGGAATAAAAAATAACCATGAAGATGAAGGGCCTCTTTCAGGGTATGTCTCTGCTGTGACAATAGACAACGTGGGTAGCAGTGTGCAGATATAAGTCAATGAGTCTCAGCAAGCTAGTTGCAGACCCATGAGATTCAGACAGATTTCTGGCTGCAAGTTCCAAGTTGAGCTCCCTGTCCTCCGGTAGGGTTGAACTCTGCAGTTGTATTGCAGGTTCCAGCTGCTCTTCCCCTGAAGATAGTCCCAGTCCTGATGGGCGGTGAAGATGACTCCAACTTACCCAGTACAGTGGTCTGGTGGTCCGGTGTCCTCTGCGTCTTTGTAGTGTGGAACCAGGTGGCTGTACAGAGAAGAGGCCAGAGGAGCAGGGTGGGGGGCTGTCCAGTGGATTGCTGCCGGATTCGGCATGTTCCCTGTGACTCGCGACCTTGGTATGGCATCCGCAGACCTGTCTGTCTGCAGCGGGCTGATTCCAAGAGACCAATTCTGAATTTTCAATATGGCATTATTACTTCAGGAGACCACTAGGCCACTTGGTAACAGGTTGACTACGTTGGGTCTCTTCCATTATATCTCTTGTAAGTATGGGTTTTATTTTCCTGTCCATAGATCCTCAGCTAGCACCACTATATAGGAGTTTATAGAATTCACAGTGCAGAAGCATAGAATCTTTAACATATTATCTGACCAGGGGATTTGCTTTATAATAAAGAAAGTATGAGATGCAGGAGTAGGCTCACAGCCATGGGATTCACTGGTCATACCACACCATACAAAAAATTCTTGGCTTGTAGAGAGCCAGGAAGACTTTGTAAAGGTGCAGGTGCCACTCAGTAGCAATATTCTGAAAGAATCCAAGTTGTGTTGTACACAATCTGAGGCCTCTAAGACTTCAGTAAGAAATATACATAGGTTGGCCAGGGATTTAGCTCAGTGGTTCCACTGCCTGCCTTGCAAGCACAAGGTCCCAGGTTCAATCCCTGGTACCACAAAATAAATAAATAAATAAATAAATAATTTAAATGCCCAGTATTATACATTGTGTTCATATATATATATATATATATATGAAATATACATAGGTCTACTAACTAAGGAGTGGGTGTAGGAATAGCTCCACTTACCTTCCCTACCTATGACCCATTAGAGGGTTTTGAAGTTCCCATAACCATAATCTGGAATCTGTAAGGTTAGGAGTCCTATGGGATTGCAGTCCTGTTAGGAAACACAGCAAGGGTACCATTGAGTTACCACCAATGACTGCTGCCGGAGCACTTTGAACTCCTTATGCTAGAAACCTGACAAAAAGAGAATTTGCTGTTATGACAGAGGATAACTGATCCTGATCAGCAGTAGGAGGTAGTGCTACTTCTGAAAGAGCCCATATGACCCATATGGATATCTTCTGATACTCCTACACTCCATCATAACTGAAATAACATGAGGAAAATCTGGCCTGAGAAGGATATGATTACCAGGAGTTAAGGACACTCAGGAGTAGAAATTTGGATCAGCCACCAAATAAGTCACCAAGGCCTGCTGAGAGTGAGAGGAATTTAGAGTGCGAATCAGGGGTGAGAAACAATCAGTATCAATTGTGGGCCCCAGACCAGTTGCTGTAGTCAGTCCCACTAGCCTTCTTCAAGTTTCCCTTCAGGAAGAGAGACCCAAGAGCATCATGGAAGAGGTTCTCTCCAAAACCACATCTGTGATGCCCAAGGCATGGATTGTGATGGTTATAAAAATGGGCCTTTTGGAGGAAAGAAGGGAATGGAATTAATATGAGAAAATGAAAAAAATGGAAACAAAGTCTGTAAATAGGGAGGGATGGAGGGGTTGAAAGGAGGGCGGGGAAAGGGGAAAAAATAAGAACCAAGAGAGTATGTAAAGGTGCATATCTCCAATGATGAATATCATTATATTGTACTCCTAAAATGTACCAATAAAAGGATATACAAAAGGAAATGGGCCTTTCAGATTTTCTGCTGTCCTAACTATTCACCTTCTGGATTCACAAGGTGTTTGCTGCTGAGGCCATGCTTCCCAAGAGCTATCCTTAGCCAATGACTAAGCATGGTGGAATACCAATGCAGGTTCATTTCTGTAAGACTCAGGATTCAACTAATTGTCCACATTGGTTATAGAACTACACGTAGGAGTCTAAGCTCAGCAAATTTAAGCAAAGAAAATCAAGATAAAATCAGAAATCAATGAAACAGAATGAAAATGTACAAGAGAGAAAACAGACAAACTTAATAATCTAAAAGATTAATGAAAAGAAATCAACTCTAGCAAGATTAATTTTTAAAAAGTGAAAGAAAACACATTATAAATATCTATAAACAAAAGGATATCACTATAGGTCCTATAGACATTAAAAATGTAAGAGGATATTTTAAATAACATTATACCAATCAATTTGACAATGCACTCGAGACAGAAAGATGAATTACAAAACAAAACTTATCTACACTGACCCCAGAATAAATAGAAAAATTTATATTCTAAAGAAGTTGAATTCATTTTTTTTGGTACCAGGGATCGAACTCGGGTCCTTGAGCTTGCGCAGCAGGTGGCAAAACCACTGAGCTAAATCCCCGGCCCTTGAATTCATAATTTAAACCTTCCTACAAAGAAAACTCCAGATGGCTTCACTGGTGAATTCTTTCCAATTTATACTCTGCTTTTGGAAAGGCATAAAAGGCATATTCATACTTTCTAATGCTTTTATATTACACATTTTATTTATACCTTAACTTCCCCCCTGCTTCTATACCTCATTCTTTGAGCACCTACTATGTTTCAGGGCATTATGTTAAGTACTTTAGATACAGTGATAAATAGAAGGGTTGGAGGGGGCTTTTAGGTTGGCTGAAGAAGTATATACATAACATAAATGCAATTAAGTAAGTACTAATAATGATATGTACAGGGACTTCCAGGAAGAAGTGGTGGTGGAGTGGTAAGCAGCAACAAATCAACCCCTCAAAGATTTGGAATCCAGACACTGGAAAATAGCAGCTTGGGGAATAAAAGAAGGAAGGAAATGGATTCCTGGAATCCAGGAAGGATCTGAAGGAAAAAATGGAGCCTACAGAAAAAGTGAAGAGACAGACTACAACTCAGAAAAAGGAGGAGGCACATTACTTTCTCTCCAGCTCCCAGCTCTCAGAGAGAGGAGGATCAAATATACTGAGACAAGGTGAGAGCAGATGACTCAAGAGGCCTCCAGGGAGAAACATATTAATGGAACAGAGCAATGGATGCTGTGTGCTACAACAGCTGGTGAGTGACTCCAGTCCAAGTGACTGCCTGTGTTCTCTGGAGAGGTTGTTTGGTAGGATGCTATTTTAGGGAGGGGCCAACTGAACATGGGACTCGAGGAACCATGGGTTAGATTCACCTCAGGGCTCCCAGTGTTGAAATCCCATAGTGCTTGGGTGAGGGAGAACTGTGGGAGATGTCCAGTATGGGAGCCATGGTCAGGAAGCAAGAGACACTCAGAACGTTGTAGACTGAACAACTCAGGCCCCAATCCCATAATCAGAGGCCAGGATCAGCTTGAACGTCTGTAGAGTTGAAAGCACCAAAATCAGCACCCCACCCTAAACTTACTGCAGTCTTTCTGGGATCATCCAGCATAGATCTGGGCTCTGTCTGCCTCCTTTATCTACCAGTGACAGCAAAGTCATGCCCTGAATTGGACACTACCATAAAACTGTAGACCCCACAGGATAACCACAGGCTTGAAATCACAGAGAAGACTCTTTTTTTTCTTTGCTTTTTATTTTGTTTGTTTATTTGTTTTTTCTTCATTTGTTTTTTATTCATTGTTTTTGTTTTTTCATGAGTGTGAACATTGTTTTTAGTTTTTGTTTTATTGTTGTGGTTTTCCTTCTTTATTTCCCTCCTGTATTCTTCACTAGTTTCCTAAAGCTTGGGTAATCCTCCTTTGTCCTTCAGGATTGTTTCTAATCTCTTTCTTTTCTTTTATTTCTCTATTTTTCCTCTTACCCTTTTAAAATTTTCCCCCCGAGGGTAAAATTGCTCTACTGAGTGGATATTAACTATATATACTTTTCTGATTCATTTTAAATTTTGTTATATAACTTTAATCTTGTACCTATGGTTAAAGCAGGCAAATTAATTTTATCACAGTTTGTCATTTTCTAGACTGTGCTTGATGCTATTGTTATTACTGATTGTACTACTTTAGCCAAGATGACATAATTGTTGCAATCAGTTGTTCTTCCTTGTATGCCAATACCGAGGTTGTCTGGGGGTCATAATACCACAGTCCAGTACCAAAGAACTGGGTGCTAGGTCAAAAAGGCAGCAACCTCTCATCCCAAATACATTGAAGACACAGAATCTTGGGGTAGACTTAAAAGCCAAAAGTCAGCTATGCCTGGAGGACATCTCTGAAAAGTAGTCATTTCCTAAACAGGTCTCAATACTCTAATAAAGCTATCTACCTTAAGCAATTTATGAGCAGAAAACAAATTTTTTTAAAAATAGAAAATGATAAAACATGGAAGCAAGGTGCAACCCCAGACCTCCAGATCACCCAAGGCAAATCCAGGGAGCATGGAGGTGGAAGAAATTAAATGGTAGCAATGGAAATAACAAAGCAAATAAATGAATTTCTAGAAAAAAATCAGAAATAATTACACAGATAACTAAAGAGATTATGACCATAATGAAGGACATGGTTGAATCTAGAATAGATACAGATATAAAGAAAATAGAGGATCTTAGGACAGTGATGGAAACCAGGAATGCCCAATATTCTAGGAAAGAATTAGATTGCACAAAACAAATTCAAACAGATATCCAGGAGATTAAAAATTCTATTGAAAGTATATACAGCAGAATCAACCAATGTGAAGATAGCATATCAGATCAAGAAGACAGATTTGCAGTTAGTGATCGTCAAATGAAAGACATCTTAAAAATAGCAAACAACCACAAAAAAATCAATCCAACAGCTGCTAGATGATGCAAAGAAGAATAACATAAGATTCATTGGAATCAATGAAAAATCAGAAGGTAGCACAAAGGGCATAAAAATAACCCGTTCACAGAAGTAATAGGAGAAAATTTCTCAAGCATGGAAAAAGAATTTGACATATAGATAAGTGAGGCATATAGAACTCCAATAAGCCATGATCAGAAAAAAACTACAAGGCATATAATAGCCAAGATCCCAGAAATTCAACATAAGAACAGAATATTAAAAGTTGTTAGAGAAAAGAAACAAATTAACTATAGAGGAAAAACTCATCATAATCACAGCTGACTTCTCAACACAAACCCTTAAGTCAATGAGAACATGGAGTGAAATATTTCAAGCTCTAAAAGAAAACAATTTCCAACCCAGATTGATGAAACCCCCATAAAATTATCTTTCAAATTGATGGAGAAATAAGATACTTGCATGATAAAGAACACCTGGTGAAATTCATGACCACTAAATAAGCACTCCAAAAAGCTCTGATGAATATTCTAGAAAAAGACAATGTAGACAACAATTCCATGAATCCCAATAGAATGAATCCACCAAGGAAGGAAAACAATTAAACAGAAGGGAAAGAAAGGGGACCAACAGCTCCTGCCAGCACAGACGAGGTGAGCCACTCCCAGTGCACAAGGGGAGGCATCTAGGCTGCCATACACCCCACCCTCACCACCAACACAGAGGAGGTGAACCATGTGGGCGCCAGCAGCATACCGCCCCCCCCGCCCCATTGAAATGAGAAGACACATAAACAAGTTTCAAAATCAGACTTCCAGATCACCTAAAACAACCCCTAAAAGGAAATGAGATGGAATACTGTGATACTCAACCACCTCAACCCCCTGAACTGGCAACAAAAGAGGATCTGGAAAAAAGGAAATCAGAAATAATTTCTCAGATAACAACAGAGATTGTGCCCATAGTGCAAGACATGATTAATAAGTCTAGAGAGGACACAGATAAAAAAATTGAGGAGCTGAGGAACATGATGGAATCCCAACATAGGAAACAAATGGAATCTATAAAACAGATACAAACAGATTTCCAGGAGATTAAAAACTCCATTGAAAGTCTATGCAGCAGAATGAACCAATGTGAGGACAG